CTTATCGTAAATCTCCGGGCAGGTTTAGTTCCTGAACAGCACCTCTGGGACTTTGCGATTTACTTCTGGGTGACTGCTGCCGACATGGGCTTGAACCTACATGTACTGCAGCTCTTCAGAATGAAATGGCCTCTGTAAAAAAAACAGCTGTCCCACAAACCAATTTACAGTATGTGTCACATCATTCATCTGGATTTTAGAAGATAGCCTTAATTATGGGATTTTTCTTCCTAATTAATATGCAAATGTGTCCTAATCCATATGCAATTTAATGCTATTTGAAGTAAAGTGTTGTAATATCCCCAATCTGGTCTGTGTTAGTTTAGGGTCTGTTCTATTGCTTTGAACACCATGCTGTCTATTTTTCACCATTGCCTCCATTGCACTTACATGGCTTTTATTGTTAAAATAATAAAGGGGGGGTTCCATGTGTATTAATATGACGTTTTTACTGATATTATGGTATTATCACTGATTTCACTCTCAATCTAATGTGGAAAATTATAGGCATGGTGTTGTTCATGAGCAGCAGGTAGTCCCCAGCCATTCGGCTCCCAGCAGAAATAGTCATGGACAGTTTGATGCAAATGATCCTGGCCCTGCATTATGCTGTTCAGTCTACTGTATGTAGGTATTTTCAGCCAAGTGTTCCAGCTGTGCTAATAATTCCAGTAATGCGTAGCTAACAATACATCACCGGTTGCTATGCCAGACTGTAACCATAGAGCTTTGGTTTGTTTTTTTTTCTTTTTCTTTGTTATGTGCTAGTTCGAAGGAAGTAGCCTATTGTATTCAAACATGTGTTAGTAGGCCTAATTGTTGGATAAAAGCTCATAATCCCTGTTGTGATTATGACTGTGTCTCTGCAACTCATAATCATGATAGAATTATTATATATTAATGATGTATTACCCAGGGGTAAACAGGCCTGTAATCCAACCTACAGTGGATACTTTCATACAGCTCTCTAGGCTATAAGCTTTCTGATGGCCCTGGGCAGTTTGACAGGGGGAAAGATAATCTCCCTTTACAAGTGGGAAGGAGAAACTACGGTGGCTGCAAAACATGTGAAAAAAATCCCTATCTAGAGGCAATGCTAGTGTTTGTCCCTTCTGGGCTACTGTAGAAACCTGACGGCTCAGCATAGTCTCTTATTTGACATTTCCTTATTCCTTCTTTCCTTCTTCTGGGTGGGAGGGACTAAGACGCAAGTATGGGAAATGTGGATGCAATTAGGCAACATGACACCCACCCACAGTGCACTTCATGGAAGGCGACATGCAACATCTGTAGATATAAACGGGTCATTCTAAGGAAACAAACACATAACAAGTCTTATTTTCAGGTGATCATACACTCATGAAAACATAGTTAGTGTTATGCAATAGATATAAGTTGAAATACCTAAAACTATAGAAAAGTGGTTGAACTATTCAGTTTTAATAGATAAATGGCTGAAATAATTAGCTAATGAATAAATGGTTAAAATGTCAAGCTTCAGCATTACTACTCTGGTAGTTCAGTTGTATGAAAAAAATATGTTAACAACATAACCTTTCATATAATTAACAATTAATTCTAATGATCACATTAAGAACATGACTGGTGCACTTGAGTTCAGAATCAGAATCAGAATCAGATTTATTGCCAGCTAGGGTTTTACACATACGAGGAATTTGTCTTGGTGCAGTGGTGCATATCTGACTGTGAAGGCTGTTGGGTAGGCCTGGATCAGACAGAAAAGATGTCCTAAGGTATGTTGGGTTAGATAGACCACTTGAAGCAGATAAAAAGGTGGAAAGTGGTAAATACCATCCTTTCAAGCTCCGAAAAGGGTTGAAGTGGTCAAAAAATGCAGAGTGCTAGTCTGAGTGTTTTAGAGTTCAGACTCATATAAATGGGAGGACTGAAACAATATTTCTCTTCCACACACATTGAGACAAGAAAGGCACACTCAGGCCCATCCAGCTAACTTGACATTCACTATACCCTGACAAATGTATTACCATTAAGCTTCTGTAACGTACCATGAGACTCGATGATTTATTACAATCACCTGCTGTTTGTCTGTGGGTTTGGTGAGATGCAAAATTGCCTGTGTGTGCATTGGCTGATAAAATGTGTTGCATGTGTCTAACAATTAAGCATTTACGTGTTTTCTGTTGGGGAAAAGACAGAGAGTGATGGAGATCATTACTGTATGCCATTTGAAAAATACTGAAACACATAATACAGTATGTCTTTGTGCAGGTCTGTTTGCTTTCTTTAACAAACAACCAATCTGAATACCCAGTAATTAAAATTGTATTAATGGAAAATCATCAACTCAGTGTAACTAAACAATTAAATGATAAAAAATATAGGTTGTAATATTTCAAAGCATCAACATTTAGCAAATATAAGATTTCCTTTCTCAAATACATATATAAATATGATTTACAAGCAGTTCTTACATGTGTGTAAGTGTGACAAAAAAGAGGCAGGAAACCAATTGAGTGCACATGTTTCATCCCTCGAGGGCATAAAGAATTGATGACCTGTGGTGATATATTTGGAATATCATTTCCTGTAATAATTTGATATGGGGGAAAGAGCTGGAAATTTGCAGTATTCTACTTTATAAATGCTGTTGTGCTAAAATAAGTTTAAAAAAATGTGAATATGACTTTTTGGGGGGGATATATATTCGGAGGGGAAAGAGGTTTGCAAATACAAATTTCAGAGCACATGATTACAGTCTATTATTCTGCCCTCGGTTCTATCCTGCTGCTATATGTTATATTTCACACACATGTGAATCTATGTACATATTATGTGAGGAAAATTGAATTTTACATACCACTGCCTGCTCACTTATGTGGTCTAAGCATGAGAAAATCTACATTTCATTTCAGTAAGACTTGTTCTTGCTCAGCCATTGGGGGTCACTTACAAGGGTCTGATTCAATTATTCTTCCGTCCACAACAGGAGGAAAACATTTTCATGGTGAATGGTTTGCTTAAATAGATTACCATCTCAAATAATTCAATTTCCGTTAATTTGATTGATTTCATACCAAGGGGGAAAAGAAATCTTAATTTAAAACCATTGCATTTCTAATCAAACATTAACTGAGAAAGAGGCCTGGGCGAAAATCTTTTATTACCAGTTTCCCTACTAATTTAAATAGAAAATGCTGATGGCTGCCCTATTAAATGGCACCAGCAGTATTCAGTGTGTGACTAGCTCATATGTGAGATCTCCAAAATAAACTACTTAACCATTTGCAAGCTGCATGGCCATTCCTCACATAATACACAGATGGAGTGCACATAATCACACACTACCATACACAGAAATACAGGGAATCTATGACTGGGCATTACTACAGAGGATCCAGATGAAGCAGTTCAGTCATCTGATCCATTCCCATCCATTATTCATCCCGCTTGGGGAGACAGAGACGCTGGGCTTCTCTTCTCAGAGAGACCCAGGAACCCCATCTATTCTCACGAGCGAAGGAAATGCCATGCAGTATAGTGGGGTGAATCACCAGGGAGTGAAAACAAAAAAGTTGGGAGTATGAGTGCACAAGAACTAAAATTAACCATCAGGCGTACTGGAAATCAAATTATTACAAATCCATGTTACAAATGCAAAAAACAGAAATACAAAATGTGGAAACATAGCTAACTTATTGTGCATATCTCCACCAGGTGCAGACTGATGCCCATGCTGTTGGAAAATAACGCAGCCTGGCCGGTGCTGTTAGGAGCAAACACCTTGTGGAGACATTGTGTGAGTGGCAGGCAGAACTGGCAAGCTGCCACAGATAATAACATCTGAAATAAATTTGATGTGTGGAATTCAATCTGTAGTGATAGGGACGGCTGCAGCATTAGAGTGAAGCTCTAAATGCTATCTACTCATCCATGGAATGAGGACTGACACGCAGTCTTAGAGAATAGATTGTGCAATTAGCAGCCTTTGTGCTGTTTTGACACAATGAAAAAGGGAAATGAGATTCAACGTTGTCATGCACGGTTCTCTGTAGCTCTGTGATTCCCATAAGATATTCTAAATGTAGTTCTTCAGGTGAGAATAAGTTCGGGGGGATGAAACATTACGAGGTATAATAAAGCACACACACAGAGAAGAAGAGAGAGTTCAACTGGTCACACTTGTTAATAACCTCCAGTATTTCATTTCCAGTGTGATTTTAAAATGTGAAATTCTGATGGGATTTTTTTTAAACCAATTTGGAGGAGCATGCCACCTCTTCAGCACTGTCAGCTACAATTATAGGATGTAATACGCCATTCAAAGGAAAGGGGGCGCTCTTTGAATAGGCATTAAAATGGTTTGAGAACCGGAGTTTCAGGAAACTTTACTGATTATCCCTTTAATTAAAGAGGTTTGTATATGGTCGAGCACCAGTTTGACTCATTAAAAGCAGCATAAATTGTTTCTCCAGAAAAAAAAAAAAACATCCTTTCTGTATCTACAGCCTTTTAAGTGCCCTAAAACAGACTAGAATACACACTCCGTTTACCAAACTACAGCTTACACCGTTATTGGCCTGACTACTGTATAATAAACATAAACTAAATGCTGCTTTAGCTCAGTATTATTTGTGCTTCAGAGCAGCCAACTGAGTGTAAGTTGGTCTCACCCACATGAACTAACAGACTATAACCATAAAAGAAAATTACTATAATATTCCTATAAAGTGTCTGTGGTGAGTTTATGGTTACCTCACCGCGCTCCATTGTATTTTACACTTCCCATGGTGTCACTATAATATTCCTTCAATATTCCTTTCGGGAATTACAGTGTCTTTGATGTTCAGTGGCAATCTGCACAGGCAGTTTTGTTATATTTTAAAAAAACAACAACAATCTCCTAGGATAGGATATCACTGTAGTATTCCTATATTATTTTATGGGCCTATATGTCATTGCAACATAATGCAGCCCAATATGATAGCAGGCTCCCCGCTTGAGCCCTCCCTCCGCCTCTCATGTGTCTACATTTTCATCCCATGGCCGTCTCTAGGTGATTTAGCGCCGCCAGTCTCAAGCAGGTGTCCAACATGGCGATCACGGGGAGCGGATCTCTCGCTATTTCTCTCTCTGTTTTCGTGATTTCAGCGGCGTTTCTTCCGAAAGGTAAGTTTTTTGGTGTCTCCCGTGTGTGTGTGTGTGTGTGTCTGTGGTGCAGAATTACCCCCTTCCACAGCTAAAGCCAGAGGAGTACCGGGGAGAAGTTGTGGTGCGTTTGCGCGCTAGATGCGCACAAGCTTCCCCTTAAATCTCAGCATCACTTTCTATTGCTCAGATGCTCCGAGTCCAAAATATCCACGCTGTTTCTCGAGACTGCCGGGCTACTTATCTCGTGATTTTAGCGCTGATTGATGGGGTGTTGTCCTGAGTTGCAGGCTACTACAGAGGACTGCTATAAAAAGTAATGTTAGTGCTGCACAATTTCATATGCGGAGCGAAAGTACCAGCAGTGATAATGGAGTGAAATGGTCGTACAGTATTTAGACCTACAGGGCAACTTAAAGGCAATGCTCACTGCCTCTTTATCATCAAATGAGACCGGTTCTCCGGCCACGAGAGAACACGGCTCACACGCACTCGTATCCGTTAGTCATACCGCATAAACCATCACAGTCCCAACTCATCCCACTGTCTTCAAATCTCTCAAGTCTGCGCTTCAGGTGCGCTTTGGAGAAAAACACGCATTGCAGCTCTAGTCTCGCACAGTGTCCTCTGGCCGCACAACTGCAGCCTCAGATGCCAGTGTGTGTGTGTGTGTGTGTGTGTGTGTGTGTGTGTGTGTGTTGTTTGTGTGTTGTTTGTGTGTGTGTGTTCCAGTCCGCAGTCTTCACTTCTCCTCCTGTCACTGAGGCTGGAGATGTAAATATGCCATGTCGCTGTTGGGCTGTAAAACATGCAACTGCATGAACCAGGGGCGCCCTAAACGTGCACGACCATTGCAGTCCCCCCCCGTCCGATCATTTCCCCCCGTTATTCCTCCGCGGTTGCATCAGAGTTGCATGCGTCAGTGTTTTTTTTTTTCCTGGAAAACGTATCCTCTGACAATACTGACGCATGTGAAGCGGTTAAAATGTCAGTTTGCAGCCGCTTTAAATCCCTCCCAGGCAGTTGGTAGGATGGAAATGTTGTTGTGCTGTCAATCCACGGGTTGTTAAAATGGCAAGCAACAGTTGCGATGGCAGGTTTTACACTTGAATACTACTTGAGTGACTTCTCAGTGGGTTAATTTTAGTTTCAGATAGGGTCATTAGTCGCTACTTACTGTACAATAGTGGTATCTTCATCAGCCATCAACAGGTCTGCAGAAACTCATCGAAGCCTGTGTGTGTGTGTGTGTGTGTGTGTGTGTGTGGTGAGATTGACAACCTGCTCCCAAAAGGAAGTTACTAGTAATACGTTATTTTTCTATTTTATTTTTTATTTTTTACAGCTCACTGCTTACAAGGCTTTCATTTCACAGTTGTTGAATGTATTATGCTTTGTGTTGAATAGCAGTTGAATGACATTTACAGCATTGTCTAGCGCCTTCTTGTCACATTAAGTTAATTAACCTTTCAGTCTAATAAAATAATGCATCATGAATGCGCAATAACCTCAAGCTCAATACAGAGGAGGGTTGTAGCATCTGGAAGCTGATGCGGTCTCTTGGTTCAGGTAAAATCCCCATGCCAGAGATGGTCTGATCTGACCTCAGGTTTTTCATTTGTTTGATTGTCTTTGTGCCAGCTGCTGGGAGCAAAAAAGGGCCCAAGCTCTTGCTTTGTGAAGTGCTGACAGTCTGCTTTTTGACAGTCTCCAATTTTATTTTTTGCTAATAATCCAGAATCAGTGGATTTGAACCTTGTCTCTATATCTGGTGAGAGAAGAACAGTCCCACTTGCTGGGTGCTGCTTTACACAATGGGTGTTCGGTTTATTATAAAGATAAGGGAAGGAGGGCTAATTAAAGAAAGAGAAGGAGAGAGAGAGAGAGATAGACAGCTGATCCTGGTCATCATAAGAGAAACTTGTCCTTATAGTATACAGTCTCCTAAAGCTAGAGAGCTGCCTCAGCTGAGCCTCCTGTTATGAAACGTTGAGACTATTAAAGAATCTGTTTAGCAGTATTTCTCTCCCTGTGTCTCCTGGGGCTCGGCCTGTTGTAGCATATCAGATGGTCGAATTTCAGAAGGTTGCATAATCTCACTTATTGCCAGTTTAAAGTCATTCGTCAGGGCTGAGTGATGGTGAAGTGGATCAATACGAGCTGTCATGAAGCCTCAAGGCGCTGCTGAAGGACGGGATCTCAGAGAAACAAAAGGAAACGTACAGTTGTTACGGTGCTCTTGGTTGCCAGTTGGCACGTGACACGATGAGTAATTGGAAATGTCCGTCTCTTGCTTCTTATGGTCGGTTTTGGCTTTGAAACAGATACTGCTGAAATCTGCTAGCAGTGTGCTGCTCTGCCCTCAATTTGTGTTTGCTTACAGTGTGTGTGGTCCGGAGGTTGGTAGTGTTTTATTTCCTCACTTATCACACAAGTGTTGCTCTCTCTGTGTCAGTGGTGCATACTGGGGCCTACAGGAAGTAAGCTCATACTGAATATGTATATTTCTGTTAAGTGTTAAAGATAAGCTCATTTGAAGATGGTGGTGAAACTATTAATATTATTAACTTAGGGATAAGTAGCAACATAACCGTGCACTATCACTGCTTGTGTGTCTGATATGTGTTCTGTCCACAGTAAAATCCATAAAAAAGGCATCTACTCCTTCTACCTCATTAAAAATAACAGAACCTATGAATATGCAATTTTTAAAAAAAGTTTTCCTGTTGGACACAAGATGTCTCTTACTTCACTGTAAAGTCCATTCTCAGTGTACATGCACTGGTGCAATGCATTTTTCTCATTGATTTTGTGTGTAACATAGTATTCTGCAAGGTAACTTGTAACTGCAGCTGTCAAACAAATGTAGTGGAGTAAAAAGTAAAATACCAATCCTCAAAATTGTACAATACAATTAGACGGAAGTACAGCGCTTGAGTAAAACTCAGAGCATTCCACCACCGATTAGGACAGAAAATAAACTAATGATTACTTTCATTGCAGATTAATCTACCACTTACGTTCTCAATGACTTGATTAATCATTTGATCAGTAGAAGGCCAGAAATAATGAAACATTATTTAAAGCTGAGATGATGCCTTCAAATTGCTTGTTTTTTCTGATCAGCAGTCAAGACTTTAACAATTTACTATCACATATGATAAAGAAAAGCAGTAAATCCTCACAATTAATGGATCGATAGTTTCAGTCTAACCACACAAAGTACAACAGTATTATCTCTGTGGCACACTGAAGTGGTCTTCTCTCCTCCATCTGTATAAAATAGCACTTACAGGACCATGTTTCAGGATATATTTAATACCTCACTTAATGGCCCATTGATATGTGCCCGCTTGTGAAGTATTTCATCGCCTGTACATTGAAATCACCACATTACATCATTTGTAAGAATAATAAACTCTTCTATTTAAAGAAATTGAATTTATTGCTCATTAAATTTACATTAAACTCTGCTTAATAAGCCTCACTCTAATTGCTAGATAATGCATGGTACTACTTTATGCGGTGGAAGCTAATCATACTGTTGGAGAGGGAGGGGCTGGCAGAGAATTGGCAGCTGATGCGTGGAAGGAATTTAGCCACTTGTATCAGATGTAACAACGTAAGTGATGTGGGCCTCGCTGTTATCATTTCACTGAGGACATCACACCTCCAGGCTCTGTTTTCTGTTCTTGAGTTTTGTTGCTTTGTAAAGTATCTGTGTTGAAGCACAAGGTCTGTGCCTGTAAATCGGATGTATTTAAACCATTATTACCCTGTCTGAGTGTGGCAGTGTGTGAATGTGCGTCCACGATCAAACTTCACACTCTTGCTCATACAGTGGATCTGAGAGCAGAGGGTCCTTGTAGTTCGGCGTGAATAGGCAGATTTCCCTTTGGTTCGTCCTTTCAAGTCTGAGGTTGAGGCAAGTCAGCCAGTTTACACTTTAAAGAAGTTGGTTAGAGTTCCATGTTGGAAAAAAAATCTTTCTATCCTTGACTTTCTATTCTTTTCAGTCTCTGAAAGAGCCCAATAACTCCTTAAAAACATCACCTCGGGTGTTGGGTTCAAGGGTTTTGGTCCACTTACTTTATAGCGGGACCTTCAAGTAAATAGTGTATCTAGTTGTTTTGTCAAGGTCCCAGGAGTTCTGCTGTAGACGTGCAGTCTTTGAGTCATGTAGTAATTATATAAAGAAAAACAAACCAGGGACATTCATATGTAAGGGATTTGCACTGTGGTGTCAAACTGAATGACAAACTGAGGACGATCAAAAATCTGTCTGTCTGTCTGTCTGTCTGTCTGTCTGTGTTGAAATGTAGTAAACAGTCAATTAGAAGAAACAGACAGATGACAGGTCCTTTCATGATTGTGGGGACAGAAGCTTCCATTCATGACTGTGCTGTGGTAATGAGGAGGAGAGCTGATGTCTTCCGCTTATGAATATGACATTGTTCTCTCTGTTCCCTGGATCTGAGAGACCTCACTCTATTGGCTGCGATGCTTAGACGGTGACAATCAGGTCTACAATGAAAAAAGAAGGGAAATGCAATGTTTTTGTTTTGAAAGGGGCATAGAGTGCACATTAGTATGGGTGATGGAGCAATTACAAGCCACCATTAAGGCTGCGGAGCCGTCAAAGCACAGTACTTTCTAAATGAAGAACTCCGTTGGGCAGATATCCTCCATAACCTGCGTCGTAGCATTCAAACAAAATTTGTAACAAATGAGAACCCAGTTCAATAAAAAACGGCTAAAAGCTATCCTCTCCTTCCTCCTCAATGTGCAGCAGTGATGGTGGAGGTATTGCAGATCATCCTCCGTCTGACCATTCATCTGTCCCTTACACATAACAACACAGATGCCAGTAATTGTGTTTTTACTAAGGCTGGATGAGATTCAAATTTTGATACTTTAAAACCTTTCCTAAATTTTACTTTGTGTGCTGCATTGCCAGATGATTTTAAAATAAGTTGTACAGGGACTGGAGAGACAAATCCATCTGCCATGTGCTGTCACTG